AGTGATGGAATCAATCATCGCAGATGCGCTGATGCAGTATCTGGAAAGCCACAACTTAATAGCCCCAGAGCAACATGGCTTTCGTCAAAAGCGTTCATGTAATACTAACCTATTAATTGCACGTAATAGCTGGACTGAAGCTGTTGATGATGGAGCAGGAGTCGATGTCATCTACCTGGACTTCTCAAAAGCATTTGATCGCTTAGACCATCGAATTCTTCTTCAGAAGCTTCGGAACTACGGCATTGGCGACCCAATCCTGAGTTGGATTAGCAATTTTCTACACGAACGACGGCTAGAGGTGAGAGTCCGAGAATCATTGTCCGATGCAATCGATGTGGTGTGTGGTGTACCACAAGGCTCGGTGCTTGGACCTCGTCTATTCTTGGTGTTCATTAGCGATTTGGTGAGATCAAATGCTTCCGATCTCCTATTTTCATGGCTAATATCTAGATGTGGTGAAGGATATGAGAACCGGATGACCATGAACGGCTCCTGTGCGATCTTAACACGGTGTTGAACTGGTCAACCTAGACAAATGTCGCTTGTGCAGTTAAGCCATAGACATAACTACGCATATTTGCTTGGGACAAACGGATTGGGGAACAGTGCCCAGGAGCATGACCTTGGTGTGCTCGTACAGAGCGATCTCAACTGTTTAAATCAGGCTGAGGTAGCTGCCAAAAGATGCAACCAGCACGTCGGCATACTGCGAAGGACATTCGGGAGATTTGACCCATCAATCTTCCTAATGATACACAATTCTAACGTGTGCCCTCTTGTTGAATACCCTAACCAAATTTGGCAACCTTGGTCGAAGCGCAACCTAGAGTCATTGGCTGCACTACAACGAAGAGCAACAAAGAATGTAAAGGGCCTGCGCTTTCACTCTTACCACCGAAGGCTGAAGTCGCTGGGAATGTTCAGCAGACGCTAGCTAAGGCTACGCGGCTATGTCATATTAGCGTATCAGATACTGAATGACCCCAACCACGTATCCCGCCACTTGCTGAAACTTAACCACAACACACAGTTCAGGGGGAACTGTTTAAACTTGAATAAACAATATAGCCGTCTAGAGTGTCGAGGTATTTACTTTTCTCTTCGGGTTTGCCAACGCTGGAATGCACTCCTGGACTCAGTTTATCCTCCCTTGTCTTCGGCGTTTACAGAAAAGGAATAGACGTTGTTCTTAGTTCCCAACACTTTGTTAACTAAACTCTTCTATTGTAGATTACACCAAGCATACTTTACTACCGGATTTACATATCAAATGAACTCAAGCGAGCGACCATATTTTACTTTTCTCACGCCTTGTACCAAAGACCACTGCACCCCAAAATATTTCTGAACGTTTATGCTCATTTTTTTAGTTTTACACTGATGTTATTTATCAAAGTATTCATTTCAGCAGACGTTCGGTAGATGACCCAGATATATTTTGATTTCATCGTGTTCACCCCAACCATCCTACGGGAGGTGTCAAGCACTTGCTTTATCCCGTGATAAATCACTGTTCATTGTTTATTGAAAGATGAAAAGGAATCAACGGTGGCTAATATATCAACTACAACCGCTTCCATTTATTACGCTAAAGAAATGTTTTGAGACTGGTGCTGGTAGACCCTCATACAAAACTTCTTAACGGGCCAAAGCATCTGTGAGTAAATCTTCGAGCCATTGTACTTACTCCCCTTGTCTCCAAGCTCCTAGAAGGTGTTCTGCTACGACTCAGCGGCTTTCGCCCTGATCGAGGTGGTATTGACAATGTGTCGATTATTTATCACGTGTAGGAGCAGTGACACACAGATGACCGAAGATGGCGTTTCCTAACCTTTTGGTTGTGTTAATTTGTGGTGCTGCCTAGCCGTGAAGGGTTTAGCAATGCAACTAAATTGCGTGGTCTCTCAACTGTGCAAATCTAGTTTAGGTAGGGGCCTATGAGGGCCTGCTACCTGAGTTGGCCACAATAAGCGAGGTTCTGCAAGGTTATCGGGTGAATAATGTGCTTTATGCACTCCTGAAGGGTGAATATTCTGCTGTAAGTAAATCCCTCAGATAGGAATTATACAGCAAGGCCGAATTTGAACGCCCAGCCATCGTTGCTCTGCAACTCTGGGATAGGAAAAATGACGAAATACTTTGTCATCTCACATTCTTTTGGAGTGCAAGCTCTGCCAGTTGAGATAGAGAAAATCCATAAATCTGCTGCCGACAACGTATTTGGGGCTGACGCAGCTGCTTTGCAGACTTATTTAATGGATTGATGTGTTGTGCTGCAAGAATCAATGTGTTTTGTAACTTCAAGGAGCGAAATACTTTTGCAAACCTGAGTGGACTTTTCAGTTTTTAACAGTCATCGAACAGTCACTATAACTAACCGATTAGCTCATTTATCTCAACAGTTAAAACACACGGTCGCCAGTTCACTGCGGTCGTTACTTCAAGTATTAGCGCACCGATGAATTTCCCAGTGTATAAGTTGCCTGTGTATCTGGCGATCTCAGAACATTGCGAAACATGGCCAATTCACTAAGAAGTTGCCGAGAAACCGAATGTTATTCATCACGGTGCTTGCCAACTAATGGTTTCATCTAACGGGTGCACCGAGTAGTTGTGTGTTGTGTGTTGTGTGTGTTGTGTTCCATCAGTTACCGTTATATCACGGTACCCTTCAGACAGTCTCAAGGATTTCCTGCTTTTAACGTCAGTATCAATTCTTGACGACTATTGACGACAATCCAAAAATACGAAAAATATATCAGGCTGCTATTTGTGTACCGGCCAATTGATAATTTTAGTACGTACCTTGACCTTTAAAATCAGGAACCATAAAGGAAGGTCCATTTCCAGGAATAGAGGAGCGGCCAGAGTGACTCAGTGACCAGTCTAGTCGTCTGTTTCATTTTTGGGAACTGAAACTCATGGAAAAATCGTGGAAAAGGACTCAAAAGAAATGACGAAATGTGATACAACAGTTTAGAAAAGAGGAAACATCTTCATTTCAGAAGATGAATGAATTTAATTTCGGTTGAGGTCACCAGTTTATCGAAGCCTGTGGACTTGCCATGGGACGTCTGACACCGTTTTTTACCACATGGAAGTGTTAGGAGGACGCAGTGATACAGAGGCAAGCTCTGCTCGCCTGAGGACACGGTGGTGTGTTGCTTCGGGCGACGTCGAAGCAACTTGAAGTATCCACGCTGTGACGATTGATAAATTCCTAGCGTGATTGTACGATGGATTTAATTGCAGCGCCGAGCGTCCCACCGTTCCGGTAAACAAGACAAACAAACAATGCGTTATTCGTAGAAAGTAGGAGTCACGGTTAAACTGCACACAATAATCTGCCTTGACGGGGAATCGAACCTCGGTCCCACGAATTACCGGTCCGCAGCTCTACCACTGAGCTACCGAGGGCTGACGATCAGGTGCGCAATTCGATACATGACTCCTGCTTGGTGCGCGACTTATTGCCAATGAGCTCACAGTATCTGTCCTGGCGTTGCAGATTGGCTCACTCACTCCTCACTACAAAATGGAGCGAAGTATCTCTCCTTCTTATTTCCATAGGGCGATGGTAGGTTACTTTGGATTTTTGTGAGTAGTGTAATGCTCGAGGGCTGACGTTGAGGTGCGCAATTTAATACATGACTCCTGCTTGGTGCGCGACAATGCATTAGTTCACATTTATCGCATAGCATGTAACGGGATAATTCCTGGACCGTTACCTCAATCAGCATGCAGTTCTACCAAACATGCGGATTGCGTTCTTCATTATTTAACGATCCTTGCTCTTACCTTGACTCAACCATGTTCTCTACTCTGCCGATCGTCCTGTTGGTCCATCCTCATCGGGTCGAAGTCCACAGTTATCACAATGCTGTTTTGGTCCCTAAACATATGTATTTAGAAGACTGGCAGCATCAGCCAGGTACTTATTGTTGATTTTAGATATCAGACAATTTCTTAAATTAAAACGTGAGTTGTCCACTCCCCATAAACTCTCCTTTGGTTCTCATTAGGGTTGGTATCCTTTGCTGTAGGCGTTTTATTCTTTAGCCAACTTAGCAATCAGACCCACTTTTTATCTAGATTGGTGAAGTCGGAAACAAATAATTTTCAATCAAGACTAACTTTCGCGAATTTCGCGCAATCACATTATGCTTTAGTTTCAACTTGAGTCAATGAATAAGAAAGTCGCAGAGTGTAACAACACCGTGGTCTCATTATACAGACCGCACTTGTCTAATAATTCTGCTCGTCTTCGGAGAGAGCTGAGTAGGTTTTTGCTGTCATGACGAAAGTCTGTTGATGTCAAGCGTATTACTGAAGAGAATGCTTGATATTTCTACAGGAAACTAAGCCTGGGAGAACAATGAAATAATTATAGGGAACGTCGCCATTACGCGCGCGGAATACCTGCATTTTCTTATTCTTTTTACAGCGAATGGTCTATTTAATGGTCACACATTAAACGATGTCCCGATACATAAGTTGTCGTCTTCAATGGACACGTGAAGTAGCTCGTTACGGTAGGAGCCAAAACTGATTTGATGACGTTAACCATAGAGACTTACAGATGTGACTAGGTGTTTAACCTCACCTTGACCACACCGGTTGTGACTGGCAAATTCAGGAGCAGTCTGGCACTAGCCTTGGGACTATCATGAGAGGCAAGGCAGTCCCAAGGGTTACAAACGCTTTAAAGCTGGATCCATGAATAGCTTCTACGTGAAGTCCTCAAGCCTCTTCTTATTACGATTGATTCATCATCGCTAGCATTACCACAGTATTGTGAGATCCATGGAAAAACATTCTGTGAACCTGTTTCAATGTCATGCCGCTCCCTGACAGCATAGATGAGACCACCGGCATTTTGTCAAGCTGCGAGTTTTCGTGACTGTTCCCTTCACATTGGCAGTTTAACCAGAACAAAGTGGTTATCTTCATAGCCAACAACCCGTACAAAGTTTTTCAGCCATGCTTTACAACTGCTTATGCTTCCTTTTATTTTTTCCTACTATCCCAGACAGCAGGATGCCTTGGAATTTTTGGTCTGTCTACTTGACACCCTTCACTCAGAATTGAAGCAGGGCGCTGCGGACTGCTACCGTGCATCCCCACCCGGCTCCACAGTGGATTCCACCTCACTGGAAACAGGCAATGAAGAGTCAGGTCTTACTTTCCTCCAATCTGATATGGGTAACGCTGCGAAAAACAAACTACCAACAAGAGAAAAGATAAAAAACTTATTCCGTCCCTCCCGTCGGCGGATGATAGAGCACATGGCGGAAGAGGCACCACGTGAAACTAGCCCACAAGTTGGCAGGCCACCGGAACCTCCCGAGCAGAAACCGCCAGATACAGGAAAGAATCAGCATCCAGCCGACATGTGAGATTTGTTAGGTAGTGTAAGACGAACTGTACACATTAGCGCATGATTTGTCCTCCGGAGTATCTAAATCTGTTGATGTCCTTTCAGATCATGGGAGGAGGAGAACCGACGAGAATGCAGTTGGGTCAAAGGTAAGGGTAGTTACCATATAAAAATTTCTTATTATCATGTGGCGTGGTCTATAAATGGGTTTTAAAACCGTATCGCCTAACCGTACGTTTGGGACATGCGTGATTGAAAAATGTTTGCTGAAATTTGTGTAACTTGAAGAAAACCACAAGCATTACTGGTAACAAGTATGATATGCATACCGCCGAATTTTCATAACTCTTTGTTTGCTCCTAGCTCAGGAGACTGGACCAAAGTGGCCAACATAGAGTGGTCTGAATCCATAGAGTTTACATGGTGAACCTTTAAGCAACGAACAAACGGTCAATTGAAAGAAATGGTCAGGATATGTAGGTGGTCTGCTTTGCGTGTTTTATTGCATGCGCTTGTTAGACTACTTGGTACAACTGAGCACACTAGCTGTGGTCAGAGGTGTCGGCGTGGCTGTCCGCTTAAAAATGGTACGTTAACGATTTCTATTTTAGCTTGGCCTATCCATCGTCTTTGGAATGTGCCGCGTAGTTTCACAACTGTGTAATCTGTTCTCGCCCATCACACCAATAAACCTCCTAGCATTGAACTCACGAGGTAACGTCCTATATTCCACTAAATTAACGAGTAATATTTTTGAATATATTTTAGCTTATGCTGTAAATTAGATATACTTCTCGGGATGCAGTCCTGCTTGTCGCACCTGAAGCAATTTAAATGGCACAACGAAATAATGTCAGGGGTATGTGGGTCCACGACAACCATGGGCTTCAGCTGCTAAATACGGGGATTATTAGCTGTTCTGCGAAATATCATCTGCGGACAGGATAGCCGACATCTTAACTATTGATGATCCGCACACCTAACACCCCTCGTGGCGTTCTATCTCCGTTGTCTTGTCCCTGGAATATTCAATTAGTTATACTGGGTGACTATGGAATGACCGTTTCCGTAAGCTCAACCGCTTCCCTCTCAAATCTCCGTCAAGGAGACCAACAAGTACTCAAGAGAGTTGCGAGTGTTCACTGTAGTTTGGAGACACCACGTAGACGTCGGATGGAATATGTATAGTGTGGGACATGCAAGTGGGACGCCACAAGCCTAAAACATAACTAAACACCAGAAGAAATGTAATCATTCTCCAGGTAAAAGTCCGTGGTCGGCCAATTGGAAACCAAAGGTGTTATAACATTGGAATAGCTATGCTCTACACATTAGAATACCTGATTTATCTGACAATTCTTATGTGGATAATGTTTATATATATATATATATATATTGCCGAGCACGATTTTTGCTACAGATATTTTACCATTAGAATCACGGTGGAATAGGAAAACGGGACCAGAATAACAAAAAACAAACAGGTAACACTTGTGCCCATTTTTCCAAGCACAGCTTTTTGTGTTTTCTTTTTGATAGTTTGTTTTACTAAGGGACGAAAAGTGAGCCACACCAATACACAGAGGTGCATGTCCTCGACTGACACTAGTCTTGAGCCTTGACTCTCAAGGTTTTCAAACAGCGATAATCCGGATCTCGGGGACCCAGATCAGTCAGCCAAAAGCAACCGATCATAGCCTACACTTTCGTCGGCTTTTACACGTGGCCTCTCCAAGTCGTAGGCTGTCCACCACACTGCTTGTTCCAGCCAGGCCCAGCAACCGCGAACAACGTAAACGTAGAGGACGCTGAGCGAGCGTATGCAGTACGTATCCATGCTCCCACAGTTGATGCAGCGAGACAAGCCTCTTCAGCGACTAGTTGTTCCCACCCAATACACACTGTCTAACAGCACAGTGGTTAAGTGGAGCAGCCACCACACGATGGGCAATTGGCCGCAAGAGACGGTGCTCGAAGTCAGGCGGTCAGCACAGGGCAACCGTGCGATCAGACCAAGTCTCGCAATGGTACAACAGTACAGCGAGGGCAGTCACACAGCGAACCAGCCTTTTGATGGGGAGACAAATAGCATGGCGGCGCCGCATGTGCTCAGTCTTGAGGAAGCGAAACAAGCTCTCGAGATACGTATCGAAATCTCGTCCCCAACACCCCCCAATGGTGACGAAGCTTCTCAGGTAGACAAAACACTCCACAACCTCCACTGTCTCACCACCAAGAGTGAGTGCAGGCACAAGCGTGTACCACCATCCCCCTCGTTAAGTGCTTGCTTATCCTAGCTGAGAAATGCGACCGGTTAATCACAGAAGCAGAGCAGAGGATCAACAATAAGATTACTTCAATGGAAGCGAGCATGGACCACAGAAGCGTAGCGGTTGCTAAGCAACGGAATGCTGAACA